GTAACAGGTTTCCAAGATCAATTTCGCACTTTTCAGTTTGGTCAACAAATAGCTTAACGGTGCACTGCACCAGGTTCTACACAGAACCCGAGTTCTCAGTCAATTTCTGATACAGTTGAGAAGGCAGGACTAACAGAAGGAAAGGGGATATAATTAAAAGCCAAGTTGTGTGATTCTGATTTTAAGCTGAGTATAAGAAGTTCAGAAATGAGAGAAATCAATGTTGGCTGAGGTGGAATAGTTCCTGAGAGGCAGAATAGCCAGCCTCTAAATCAATGGTCGGCAAATGGCAGCTTGCGAGCCACATGCTGCTCAGAAGCCGCAGTTTGCTGCTCTGTTGATTAATGAGTTTGCTGACCACTGCCCTAAATGAACCAAATATATCTTCTACTGGCCTGCCTGCAATTGTCATCTATAATATTGTGCCTTTGTATCCAGGCTGCTATTTAAAACAGAACAAGGTACTGCATGGGAGAATATATTTGCCAATGATATTTCAGATAAGGGTTTAATCTCCAAAATTTAGAGAACTCATACAACTTAACAAAAGGAAGATAAACGATCCAATAAAAAAATGGGCAAAGGACGTAAATAGACACTTTTTGAAGAGGACATACAGAAGACCAGGAGACATATGAAAGCATTCTCAAAGTCACTAATCATCTGAGAGATGCAAATCAAAACAACAATGAGATCTCACAACTATTAGATTGGCTATCATCAACAAATCAACAAACAGCAAGTGCTGGAGAGGATGTGGAGAAAAAGGAACCCTCTTGCACTGCTGGTGGGAATGAAGACTGGTGCAGCCACTGTGGAATACAGTATGGAGTTTCCTCAAAAAGTTAAAAATGGAACTCCCATTTGACCCAGTGATCCCACTTCTAGGGCTATATCTGAAGAAACCAGAAACACCAATCAGAAAGAATATATGCACCCCTATGTTCATAGCAGCACCATTTACAATAGCTAAGATTTGGAAACAACCCAAGTGCCCATGAACACACAAATGGATTAAAAAAAACTGTACTATATCTACACAATGGAATACTATGCCACTATAAAAAAAAAGGAACTCTTACCATTTGCAACAGCATGGATGGAACTGGAGAGCAAAGTGAAATAAGCCACTCAGAGAAAGATAAATATGACATGATCTCACTAATATGTGGGATATAATGATCAACATAATTTGAACAAGAATAGATCCAGAGACAAATGGCAGGGGAGGGGGCAGGTGGTTAGAGAGAAACCAAAGGACTTGTATGCATGTATAATAGCATAACCAATGGACACAGGCACTGGGCGGTGGGGGCTTTCCCTGGGAGAGAATGGCTGGGGGAGGGGGATGTCAATTGGGGAAAAAGGAGACATATGTAAAACTTTAGACAATAAGTTTAAAAACAAAATAAAAAAAGTAAAACAAACAAACAAAAAACAGTACAAGGTAGTGGTTAAATACACTGGCTCTGGGACCAGTCTGTCCAGGTTTCAAACCTGGCTCAACCCCTTACTAGCAGTGTGTGTGATCCTGAGCAACTTAGTCTTTCTGTGCCTCAGTTCCATTTATAAAATGTGGTTAATAACAGAATCTATCTGATAGAACCACTGTCAAAGTGAAATGAGTTAATTTATTCAATTCACTCACTAAATTTATAATTAGATGTGTATCAAAATCACCTGGGAAGTTTATTTAAAAAACTACAGGCCCAGTGCATGAAATTCGTGCATGGGGATGTGTGTCCCTCAGCTCAGCCTGCACCCTCTCCAACCTGGGACTCCTTCAGAGATGTCTGACTGGCTGTTTAGGCCTGATACTACTGGGATCGGATATCCCCTGCCAGCCTAATTGATACCTAACTGCTCCCTTGCCAGCCTGTTTGCCCCTACCTGCCCTCCCCTGCAGGCCTGTTCCCCCCCAATTGCTCTCCCCTGCAGGCCTGCCCCTTCCCCCCCGCTCAACTGCCCTTCCCTGTAGGCCTGGTCACCCCCAACTTCCGTCCTCTGCTGTCTTGGTCACACCTAACTGTCCTCCCCCTGCAGGTTTGATTGCCCCCAACTGCCCTCCCTTGCAGGCCTAGTTCCTCCCAACTGCCCTCCCCTGCTGGCCTGATCAACCACAACTCCCCTCCCTTGCAAGGCTGGTCCCTCCTAACTGCCTTCCCCTGCTGGCCATCTTGTGGTGGCCATCTTGTGTCTACATGGGGGCAGCCATCTTTGACCACATGGGGACAGACATCTTGTGTGTTGGAGTGATGGTCAATTTACATATTACTCTTTTATTAGAGAGGAGGATGTCATGGGATCTGTAGAAGTTGGAGGAACTAAACCCCCTAGAGCAGCAAGTTATATTTGGGGAGATAGCAGTAGTGTGTAATGAAGAATTGAATAAGACTTTCAAAGAAGAATAAATAAGAATAAAGTCTTATTTCCAAGCCATTTGGTCAACAGACATTTCACCTTTGCTTAGGGCAGTGTTTCCCAAACTTCTCTCATGATGAGAATCACCTGGTGGAGTTGTTAAAATACAGATTCCTGAATCCCAACTAAGAAGTGCTAAACTAGAATTTTGGGGAACATATGGTAAAATTGTATACTTAACTAGTGCTCTAAGCTTTATTGGTCTCCCTCTCCAACTTAAACTGAAATTACCAGAAGGCAAGTTACATTAAAAGTGTCCAACTTTTAAAAGATGAATTTTTAAGCCTTAAGAGAGGCACAAGCTAAAACAGAAATACCACATTATCTATTGCTCAGAGAAAATTAAATGCATTTTCTAGTTCCTTAAAAAACAAAAAATCAATTAACCAGGAAATTTAAGAGATTCATGTCACATTTCAGGAATTAACAATGACTGTTAATGAGACTTCCTAAAGTTTATTTTCAGCTATTACAAGGACTACAACTGTTTTCTGTCTTGAAGGGACTCAGTTGTATAATACGTTGAAATGCCAATTATGTTTGACTACTATTGATTTATTCAGACACTATCTGCCCTGTGGGAAACACATCAACTTTCAGCCTTCACACATGGTAACACTGGGAAAATATCAGCAACGATCCCTTGTTGCTAGTGCTGGTTACCTTCTTACAGTAAATGACCCTGCATCTGTCTTTCTGGTTTGTGGGCACATAAAAGAATTATTATTTGACAGAAGTGTTGCTGAAGGGTATAACAATGATAAATTGGATCTCCACTTATACTGATAATTGTGGGCTGTGTGCAAATAAAAGTCAAAGCAGAATATTTTTTGAATAATTGGGAATTACATAGATGAATAAATTTGAATATGGAGATGGAATCACAGATGGAAGAAGCCCTTGATTCATCAGACAAGTTGCCTTAAGAGAACATACAATCACAGCTAAACATTAAATCTGTTGCTTGAAATGTTAAGTCTTTTAAGCAAAATAGGCATTTATTTATTTATTTATTTATTTATTGTTTCTAAAGTTTTTCTCTCTCTTCATTTTATTTTTAATTTTTTATTTTTTTAATTAAATTATCTTTGTACATATATTATTGCCCCCCCCCCGCCCCCAAGCAAAATAAGCTTTTAAACTCAAGGCAATCACTTGGTTCTTTGCTCACACTGTTTTGTGTGTTTGTTTTACTCTTTATTGTTGAAAGTATGACATATGTCCCCCTTTTTCCCGCCCATTGACCCCCTCTAGCCTGCCCCCGCCTCCCACCCCAGACCTTCACCACCCTATTGTCTGTGTCTATGAGTTATGCATATGTGCATACAAGATCTTTGGTTAATTATCTTCCCACCCATTCTCCCACCCATTCTCCCACGCCTTCCCTCCGAGATCCTGCACTCTGTTCCATGTTTCCATGTCTCTGGATCCAGTCCGTTCATCAGTTTATTTTGTTAATTAGATTCCATATATGAGTGAGATTATGTGATACTTGTCTTTCTCTAACTAACCTATTTCACTTAGCATGATGCTCTCCTGGTCTCTCCATGCTGTCTCCAAGAGTAAGATATTCTTCCTTTTTGCTGCTGCATAGTATTCCATGGTATAAATGTACCACAGCTTTTTTTATTCACTCATCTACTGATGGGCACTGGGGCTGTTTCCAGATCTTAGCTATCGTAAATTGGCTCACACTATTTTGAATGGAGTTATGTGAAAATTGGAGAAGACTCCAAAAAGGTGGACAAACAATTATGAGTGATCAATTCTACTTTCTGGTCTTTTGTGATTAACCATAAAGGGTAGGGGCCCTGTTAGGATGCCAAAAAAGTTTAATTGACCTAAGTGAAATGAGAATAATGTCCTCTATCTTATAAATTTCCCATTCAGGGTATTGAATACCATACTTTCAGCTCAGAATTTTGAAGATGAATGTTCCTTTTTTCTTTTCTTTTTTATACTTTATTGATTTTTTACAGAGAGGAAGGGAGAGATATAGAGAGTTAGAAACATCAACGAGAGAGAAACATCTATCAGCTGCCTCCTGCACATACTGGGTATGTGCCTGCAACCAAGATACACAGTGACACAGTTCTTTTTCAAGGAGTTGTCAAGGGAGCTCAACAGCCAAAGGGGAAATGACCAGGCAGGCCTTCCAAGGGTAACTTTTTTTTTTTTTAATATATTTTATTGATTTTGTACAGAGAGGAAGGAAGAGAGATAGAGAGTTAGAAACATCGATGAGAGAGAATCATCGATCAGCTGCCTCTGGCACACCCTTTACTGAGAATATGCCCGCAACCAAGGTACATGCCCTTGACCGGAATCGAACCCGGGACCTTTCAGTCCCCAAGCAGACGCTCTATCCATTGAGCCAAACCGGTTTCGGCCAAGGGTAACTTCTGAGCGCTCACCTGGGAACGGGTAGGAGGCAGCCAGGTGGGGTGTGGAGGGAGTGGAAGCCTATCCTCCCTGTGCACAGGGGACTTTTCTGGACTATAAACCCTATGACAGCAAAAGCCTCCTATGCTATCCCCAGATTTGGCTCCAGATACTTTTCATCATCCTTTCGCTCTTACCTCCGATGCTGGTGCATTTTTTTTTTTTTTTTTGAAGGAAGAGGGCAGCGTGGGAGTGGGGGAGGATGACTTCGGTTAAAGCTCTGAAAGTGTCAGACTCCGCTATTTCAAGCGAGGCATCGCCTGCGGACGCAGGGTAGGATTCTTTCCAAAAATCCGGACTTTTTAAAAACGCCGCGGGACGCGGGACACATTGTTAAAAAATCGGGACGCCCGGTCACCTTACTTCACACTGTCCCCTGGCGGAGTGCAAAGGTCCACGTTTTTCTGTCCCACGTTTCTGAGAACGGCGGGACCGTCCCAGTCCGTTCGCGCGGCAGCACCGAACGCCAGGGGCACCAGCTCCCGCACTGAACACTGATCACTCCGGGAACTTCACGGTCGGCCCTTCTGCGGAGTTCTCGCGGGTTCTCGTCAGTCGGCCCCGTCCAGCTCCGGAGTTCACCTGGGAGGAGTCGACCTCTTCGGACTCTACCAAGTGAACACGCGTAGGGGTGGAGCGGCTGAACCATCTGGGACGAAGGTCGGAAGACGGAAAGCGAAACTCCCTTAAACAACATATACATCGCTATTGTCAAGTACAACGTGGCGTAGGGGCTCTTATCTCCTCCCAGAAGTAGGTAATTCCACCTTCCCAGAGAAAATCGACTCATGCCTCCCCTGGCGTTGGGCGCGCTCGGCCTTGGTCTCGCCCGCGCCGGGCGACCCCGAGGTCACGTGCTCCTCCTGTCCTTCTGGAGGAACGTGCAGCCTAGGTTAGGCACAGCCGAGCCATGGCAGCCCTTCTGCGACCGGCCCGCTGGCTCCTCCGCGCCGGGGCGGCTCCGCGCCTCCCGCTCTCCCTGCGCCTCCTCGCCGGCGGCCCCGGCAGGCCGCCCGCCGCCCGCTGTCTGCCCGCAGATCGCACCGCGCCGGTCCCCGCGTGAGTGCCCCGCAGCCCACCTTGCAATGTGGGCGTCTTCCGGGTGATCAGTCGTTGACCCTGGAGGACCATGGGTCCCTCCTGCCCCCTCGAAGTGCCCACTTCGCCTCTCTGCAGGGCTAAACATCCCGGGGCGTCGGACCATGCTTCTCTACAGAGATTTTTCGGGTGATCGGATTGGTCGCCTTCCGAAGGTCATGGCCGCGGGCATGGCATGTTTCCGGCTTGGATCCTGTCCTCGGGCTATCTCCGGCCTACGAAACTCAGAGGGGCTTGGAAGGCTGCTGCGAGGGTCGGGTGTTCCTCTCCTTAGGATTGACCGGTTAGGGCTGTCCCATGGGCACGCGTTATTGGTGATCAGTAACCAGCTAGGACTTAGATTTTGAGTCTTAGTTGGGTGGTGGGGAGGGGAGAGTAGATTGGGAGTTTTGAATGAGCTAGGGATAGCTCAGAGATAGTCATTTAACTGTGATCAGTTTGGGATTTTGCTTGAATTTCCTAGTATTGACGAGATTGTGATATGGGCTGGGAATTGTCACAATTAGGCTCAGTAAGTGTCAATGAATGAATTAAATGAACACATGCAAGGTATTCCGTGGGGACTCCAAAGGCAAGTTAGATTCTCAGTGTGTGTCAAAGGTGTGAGTAAAATGCCCTCATGGATTGAAGTTTATCAAGAGGTAGGTTTGGTATTAGACTTTTTGGGGTGGAGAATAAGTATTCATTTGAATAGTATTCCTGACCACTGAGAAGGGGAGATAGGCACTGAGGTTTCGGAATTGGGGAAAAGCTGACTTTGAAAGACTAGTGTTTAAAGGTATTTTGAGAGACAGCATAAGAACTAAGACTAAGTGCCAAGGATCTGTAATGGGCCAGGGCTGGACTGCTGACCTCTACTTATTTACATAGTGCCATTCGACAAGTTACTTAGTATCTCCAGCCAGGCCTATTTCCTTAGTTATAAAGTGTGAGTAGTAATAGTGTGGGTTGTGGGGCCTGGAACCTAGTGAGTGCTTTAAAAAAAAAAAATAAAAAATAAAAAAATATATATATATACACTTTATTGATTTTTACAGAGAGGAAGGGAGAGAGAGAGAGTTAGAAACATTGATGAGAGAAAGTCATCTTTCAGCTGCCTCTTGCACACCCCCTACTGGGGATGGATGCCCGCAACCAAGGTACATGCCCTTGACTGGAATCGAACCCAGGACCTTTCAGTCCCCAAGCCGACGCTCTATCCATTGAGCCAAACCCATTTCGGCCTAGTGAGTGCTTTATTAGTTACTGTTATAATAAGTATGATTACATGGATCTTTGTGGACCAGCCTGGAAAACTACTCTCTGCATAAAATTAAATGGAGAAAATGTTTTATGACTGCTTAACAACCTAGTTATAAATCTTGGGAATGTAGCCTACCTGTAACCTGGAGCCTGCCTAGATTTTCTCTTTAGGCCTCAGTCATTGACCTTCATGCCTCTGCTTTCGCAGAGCTACATCTTTTGGCTTTCAAAGTGTTATTTGTCTAGTCCTTAACATCCCTTGAAGGGTCTATCATTCATCTTCACTGTTGCATTTGAGGGGGAAAAAATCAGAGGGAACACAATTTAGTAGAAAGGGTATCCTATGTAATAAAAGCGCAATATGCTGTGTCCAACCTAATTGGTGGACTGCTCAACCAGTCACTATGTTGTGCACTGACCACCTTGGGTAGGTTAGCTTGCTGCTGGGGTCCAGCTGATGGGGATTGGGTGAGAGAGCTGGACATGCCAAGGAGCTCGCCCATGACTCCTCCCTGGTTGGTGGGCCCCAATGGGCTCCTATTGGGGCTTGTTGGTTAACCTCCCTTTGTCTCTCCCCAGCCACCTGGCCCCAATTGGCCCTGGTCACCTGGCAGGCCAAGGGGCCCCACCTATGCACAAATTCATGCACTGAGCCTCTGGTCTATTATAAAAGGTTTGGGTGTTCATCAGACCTGGGTTCCATTTACTTGCTCCAAAATCTTACCTAGCCTCTTTGATCCTTGGTCTCATCTGTAAAGTAGAGGTAACAGGTCTTTCCTTCTTTGTAAAGTTGAGTTCTTGTCATTTAGAACTCAACTTAAATGCTGTTTCTTTAGAGAAGTCTTATGTCAACACACTGTAAAAAATTACCCTATTTTAGTTTTATCATGGCATATCTCACTTGTCTGATACTACTTGTTTATCTTTTCTCTATTTTCTTAGAAAATAAGTTGCGTGAGAGCAGAACTTTATCTTCACCACTGTGCTCAGCAAGTAAAGAAGTATTTATCCCCTTATTCTTCTGGACACTAAACCCTTTTTCTATGCAATCTTCTGTCCCTCAGCCTCTAAGCATGCCTGATCTTTCCCTCCTGAAATATAAAACTTTTCCCAGGACTCAGGATGCTTCTCAATCTCTCTTCCCTGCCCATACTCCCATCCTTCATTTCCTCACTTTGCATCCCCTTATTTACCCACTACAGTCACCTCTGCAAAAACCATCATTATCTTGTTTATAACTTTTGTATCGTATATGTTTAAATTACATAACTCATGAGGAACAATTGCAAAATGCAGGAAAAGGCAGTAAATTAAAAATCATCCTAATTCTATCACCCAGAAAGAGTGATATACTGGTATATAACTCCTTCTAGTCACTTAACGTATGTGTAAGATGATCCATGTTCAAGGCCTTGATCTCTGGCATATTACTCTGTCACCTATTTTGCCTGCTTAGACTTATTTCTTGGCATCAGTGACATTACTCTTTCTAGATTTTCTTGTCTTTAGAATTTTTCTCACTGGCTTTGGTTCTTCCTTTTTCCTCTGTTTATCTCTTAAATGTTGATGTTTGGGAGTGTTTTGTCCTTAGTCTTTTACTTCCTCATTTTTTAATCTCCTTTTGGTGACCTCTTCCATTTTCAGGCTATCAGCCCTATCTATCTGATGATGGCTCTTTCTGTACTTAGTCTATCTATTAGATATCTCCTGATTGAACTACCGGTACTTCAGATCCATCACATCGCATATTGGTCTAGTCTTTCCTCCCAAATCTGTTCCTTGTGTGTTCTGTGCTTTAGTGAATATTGCTTTTCCTGTTTCCTCGAGATTTCTCATTCATATTTCATTGACACCTCCCCTATCCCCATGTATTGACTCCACAATGATTAAGCCTTATTAGATTTACTTGTGGAATGAATCCCTTCTTTCAACCCCCATATCATTCTCTAGTCCCCTTGATAATTGATCATGTCATTTTATTACTTACAGTCAGTCACTGTGATGACTCCTACTAAGTCCAGGATAAGGTGCTCCATGATTTGGAGATGGAGTCTCGCTTCTTATGAGTTTTTTCCCATGGAATCCTAAACTACTATTTTTGAAGTCTACTGGGTTTCTGAAACTATAATGAGCATAAGAATTTCTTGGAGATATTGTTAAAAATGGGGTTTTTATCCTAGCCTATTTGGCTCAGTGGATAGAGCGGCAGCCTGTAGACTGAAGGGTCCCAGGTTCGGATCCAGTCAAGGGCACATGTTCAGGTTACAGGCTCGCTCCTCAATGTGCATGCAGGAGGCAGCCAGTCAGTGATCCCTTCTCATCACTGATGTTTCTGTCACCCCCTCTCTCTTCCTTTCTGAAATCAATAAAAATATTTAAAAAAAAATGTAGGCTTGGATTTTATAAATCTAGGCAGGGTACTGAGATTCTGCATTTCTAACAAGCCCCCAAATGATAAAAATGCTGCTGATCTGTGGACCAGCAAGGCTCTGGTGGGCCATGCTACATATCTGCTTACTTTTGAATATAATGTTCATTCTTGAGATGTGTCCATTCTTTCCCCTACTCAAGTGTTCCCCTTCTTTGTTAAATCTTTCTTGGCTGCTTTTCTCATTTGACTGCTCCTTTCTTGTACTTTCTCTCATAGCTGGATTCACTAAAGCATTCATTAACATGATTACATGTGAGGCCACCAGCACTCCAGACCTGGCTGTAAGTTCCTTGAAGGCAGGAACTTTGTTTATTTTTTTGCCTTGAGTTGAGGATATCAATGAAAATTTTAGGCATTGAGTAAAGAATATTGTGAGAGGCAAAGAAGTTTGGGGTACTTAGCCCATTCATGCAGTGTAGTTAATTTCCACACATTCACCCTGATCTTTATTTCCAGGAATGTCCAGTTTGAGAAGGAAAAATGAGTATTATTAAGCAAATATATCAATCTGTTTTCAAAATTGGAGCACCAAAAAGTATGTATTTTTTTAGAGGGAGGGAGAAGGATAAATATCAATATGAGAGAAGCATCGATTGGTTATATGTACCCCAACTGGGAATGGAACCTGCAACCTGGGTATGTGCCCTGACCAAAGATTGAACCCGCCACCTTTTGCTGTATAGGATGACACTCCAACCAACTGAGCGACATTAATGGCGGCTTTAGTCTTATTCTTCAGTTTCCTATTTCAGTACTTAAAAAATGTTTTTTCTTTTAAATCCTCACCTGAGGATATGTTTTCATTGATTTTTAGAGAGATAAAGAAACGTTGATCTTTTACCTCACACATGTGCCAGCATAGAACCTGCAATCTAGGTACATACATGCTCTGACTGGGAATCGGACCCATAACCTTCTGGTGTATGGGACGACACTCCAACCAAGTCATCTGGCT